GTTACAAAAAAAAAAAAAAAAAAAAAAATCCCAAGGCGGTACGACACGCACGCGTCGTCACCCACGAGGAAGCCAACGAGATTCTATTTGATACGTTTAGGCAAACCGATGCATTTCCGTTCTTTCGTTCGTTTTTTCTCCCCCTGGAATAGAATCTTGCTGTGCGCGTGTATCTTGACGGACGAGAACAAGAAGTTTCTAAAAACAGCGAGGAGAGGAGAAAATTGGAAAAAGGGGAATAAGAAGTAAAGAGAAACGAGAACACCGAGCGACGCGTTTCGTAATGTTCGACGAGTCCACGTGTCGTTTTTAGAGCGTACGAAAAGACAAAATGAAAAAAAAAAAAAAAAAGAAAACACTTTGTATGCACCCGCCCCTCCCTATCCCCATTGTTCATGCCCATTTATATTGCGTAGATGGACCGATCGATAATTGTAAACGGACGTGAGAATACTATTATATATATACATATATATACATATTATATATATAAATATATATATATAAAAAAAAAAGCGACAGAATGAAACTACTGTAACTACACCTGCCTCTTGTGAATAAATGCCTATTTGTTTCTTTTCAATCTCGTTGTTAATCTCATGCGTATGTATCGAACTTATAAGTGTTCCCTCATGAAGAAATCATTACTCGCGAGAAAAAAACATCGAGATCATCAATTCTCATCGGGAAGTTCACTTGTTGTGTTGTAAACGTCCCGACGAACGCTCGCGCTGACGCTTGAAGACACGACACGACAGATCCGTAAAACAGAATTTTTATTAAATAAATATGTTGTCACAATCACGTTCAGGTCAGATGCGATCGTATCAGCTATTATACAGTTAGTAAACGAGCGCGATCGGCTCGTTTGCTAATTTACAAAGAAGGCTAACGCGAGCTGAGATGCTGCTGGGGCGCGTTAACCGATCCGTTCGTTGTTACTTAACAACCGCCGGTCGTTAATTAAAGCTAAGCGTTCAGACTGGAACGTAGAGAAAAAAATGTCGAGGAACATCGTCGTGGTCGCTGTCGACCGGCGGAAAAAAGAAAAAGGAACGCGCGTGACAAAATTTCTCTAACACTGTTGTTGCACTGTCTCTGAATGTTTTTCTTTTCTGTTTGACAGTTTTACTCGAACTTCCTGATCCATTCGGACAGACGGACGGACGGAAATTGTTGAAGAAAAGTCCAAGCGAGTCGAAAGAGAAATTAAATGGAAATTCCCTTCCATATAAATATATCTATATGTATTGAAATTCAGTTTGATTTAATTTTTGTACCTAGTCGATCTTCCCTTATCGGATGTAACAACGGTAGCGCCATCTTATGTAAATTCAGGTAAAATTTATCGCGATGATATACAATATTAGATTTCGTATCACAATCAACAATAAAAGAAATTCCATTCTCTCACAAATGTTTTATACGTTTGTACAATTTATATTTACAGCCGCTGGTTAAAAAAAAAAAAAAGGAACCGAGTCTCTGTAGATCGTATCGTTGCATAATCGCATCCAATTAAAAGAAAGAGGTACTAGGGTGTTGGAAAGTACGATTTTCGTTCAAACGCATTGCTCAGAATAATGATAAGTTTGTAGAGATTTTTGCGAGAAAAGATGCCACTAGAGATCGGTTCTTACGAGTCGTTTCACGATTACAGGAATGACGAATCTCGCCGTACGCCAAACAATCGATTTGAATCTACCGATGCTGGCGCTTTCCTTCTCTTCTCGATGCGATCGCGCGCACATCTAGAAAGAAGGAACTCTCTTTCGTTGTCTTGTATATCCAACGCTTGGATATTTTATAAAGAAAATAATAACGATAAATAAATCTAAATTGTCAAGAACAGATGAGGATAGACCTAACCACGCGAGAAAATCTACATCAGGGAGTATCGAGACGACTCGATCTCGCGAGAAAGCAGCCTTGTTAACCTAATAATTGGTATGAATCATCGTGAAAACGTGAAGGACGCGCACAAAGTATGCGTCCTGTATGGCTATTGCTTGCCGCTCAATTTCAAATTGAAAGAAAGGACAGTCTGTCTCCGAAGGTGGCGGAGAGATGAGCGGACGAATGGTCCCTGATACGCTGGCGCCACAACGAAAAGTTCATCTCATGGGAAGAACTTCTTTTCGAGGGCAGTCTTCTTTTCTCACCTTCTGTATCACTGTGTGTATATCGGTGTCTCTTGGTTCTTTCATTTCGCGCGAGCACGTCTACGCGAACAGTCATTTTCGTCAAAACAGACCGAACATTTTCTTCGACGAGCCAGTGCTCCTCTTCTTTCTCGCTGGAGCCGCGATTTCCGAATTCTCAGTGTTCGCCGCGGTGATGGAGCTCGTGACAGGCATCAACTTGCTCCGAACATGTTCATCCACGAGGGACTGCACGTCCATTTGCCACTGTTCCAACTGTTGGCTAAGTTCGATCTTCTGTTGAATAGCCTCCATCAGCTGGCTATTGGCTTGAAGAACATCTATCCTCGTTTTAGCTAGCTCCACTTCCGCCCTGTTTTTCCTAGCCACCGCTTGGTCCCTGACTTTGTAAGCCTGGGCCAATATCTCGTCCTTGGTCAACTGCGAATGTTCCATATCGTCCCGAGCTCTGTCGCGTTCCTCCTTAACGCCGCGCAGTTCGGCCTCGCTGACGCTAAGTTTGCTCGTCATGTCGAGCAGAGCCTCTCCGCGCCTTTTCAGCTCCTCTTGCGTCTGCTTTTGTTGTTCCTTCGTGTTCTCGAGCTCTTCGCGCACCCTGTGAAGTTCCACGGCCAAACCGAGCTCTCCTGGTGCCCCTCTGCCGGAAAGAGCCAAGTTGTATACCTCCTCCACCAGTTCCAACAAAGCGCCGGGACAACTGGCCTGCAAAAGAGAGAAAAAAAGAAAAAAAAATCACTCAGCGCAAAGACCATATGGCGGGATCGCTTGCGAGCGATCGCAATCCCATTGAAATCACGATATCGCGGTGATATCTATCGTGCGGTAAATTGCGAATAATCTTATCGCGGCAGGCAAGATGAAAAAGCAACCGTGCAAATATAGTCTGCAAACACCGGGGCACGTCGAAGCGTTATATGCACTGCAACTATACGTACTTACGAACATAGAGAGCTCTTTGAAAACTACCAGTCACGCTCGATACGTTATCTACTATCGTAGGCCTTGTGTTTTGATCGATGAAGCGAGCACGTTCGACGAGCTTTAATGACCGTTCAAGATCCGTAGGTCGCATTGCCGGAAACCGGAAGTTGCAGAACAAAAGAAGCGCGTCACGGGAGACCCTTACCGAGCTGGCAAGAGTATCCTGCCCGTTGGTGTTCGCCTCCTCCGCTTCCGCGGTGTTGTTCACGATCACGAGCATCGACTCGTCGCAGTCGCTCTGCAAACCCGAGTCGTCCTCCCCCCGTCTCAAATGGACGCACAGCTCCTTCAACCGCTTCACCGCCCTCGCCACCTCTGCACGCAGATCCTCCTGATCGCCCAGCGAGCTTCCGCTCTCCTCGCACTCCATCTCCGCCTGCAGCGACCTCGGTGGTTTCTGTATCGAGCCGGATCTACCTCTCCTTTCCACCTCGATGAGCGCCAATGTCGCCGCCAGCTCGTCCCTGCGAATTCGATCGATCGAAACTGTAAAGTCTGTAAGATCCTTCCTCGATCCGACGATCGAACGTCGATGCGCTGTAAGCTTCTTACAGACGAAAGGGGAGAGAGAGAGAGAGAGAGACAACGCGTGATTACCGTACTCGAGAAGAATCGATAGCCGTTTGAAGCGACTGGAAAACCTTCCTTCGTTTTTTTTTTTTTTTTTTTTTTTTTTTTCAGTTCTCTCGGAACTCGAACAAAGACACGCGTAGGCATTTGAAACACGGACAAGTAGCACGGATTTCTGCTGCACAACCGGGGGAACAACCGGTTGTGCGTGGGTTGCGAGGACTGAGAAGGACAATGTTCTACGATTTTCTAACAGACGGTAAGACAGTTAACTGACTATTACATGGAGATGTTATTCTATCATACGAGGAGAATTATTGTTTATTCTGTAATCGTAAAGAAGAACAAATATAACCAACATCGAAGTTTTTTAACTGATCTGTCGATCGTGTCATATTTGCGTTTTATTTCGCAAGGATCAAAACGGAACTTATCTTCAGGAATTATTATAGATTTCTAGCCAATGCGTCGGTTAAGAGGTTAAATGGCAGGAACACTCATGAATCTCACCTCTCACGTTCAGCCAGTTTCGCCCGGTGTTCCGCCTCGTGGCTGAGCCGCTCCAAGGCCGCGGCTCTATCCTCCGCTTCTTCGAGAGCCGCCATCGCCCTCGCCCTCTCTTCCCTCAGCTCCAAGGACCTCCTCTCTAATTCTGTTCTTTGCGCAGACACCAGCTGTACCTGGAACGCGTTCGACGTAACTTACGTTTTTATTCGATTTCGATTTCGATCGGCCCGTAATCCGCTTACTCGTCTATTCACCTACGTTCGCATATTCGCATATTCGTGCACGAACAGCGTTCGGCGTCCGCTGACGTTTCGTACACGCGATTTACGTTACACACAGCGCGCGCTTCCGGTTCTTTCGCAAGAACGAGAAACTAGCAGGCTGACTACGTATGTTGACAATGTGAGATTCCGTGCTACGTTAATTGGAGAAATAGAGTTGATATTAGATACTACGTATCACTCCTTTCTTTCTGCTCGACCTTGTAACAGATAGGGAACGCGAAAGGGAATACCGATCGTTTTGTTCGACTGGCACGAGAAACAGTTTTCAAGATTTAGCAAGGGCATAAATTAATCAAGGCTATAGGAAGGTTGTCATCTTCTAGTTTTCTCAGTCATACGTGAGTCGATTTGCGAGTAGTAAAAATTATAATTGACACGTCTTGGTCGAAGAGAAATTGTGGTCGTTCAACAGATGAAAATCGCAAAAGGACAATCCCTGAGGAAATTGTTCCCTCACTCGAATTCGGAATTCCTCGCGGAATCGTTCTCAATTTGATCACTGCTCGCGATCGAGTCGATAGCGTGACGTAATCAACAACATCGACGTAACGTGTAGACAGTGTAACGAGTATATTACCCGAAGGGAACTCGCGCGTGAAGGGTACTTCCTGAAATTCGAGTTCGCTGCAAGTAAGAAGAGAACAAAGGGCGCATCTACGAAGGACGAGGCGAAGTTAAGTCGATCGTCGAGGGTCACGACTCGCGCACACTCGTTTGCCACGGAGTTGCTGCACGGCTCGCGAACTTCTCACGGGCTGCGTGTATTTCCTCTCGCGACCTGCCTCGAATTTAGACGCTCGTACACAGTCCATTGATATCCTCTCTCGCGAGAGAGAGAAAGAGAGATCATACATATTCAACGTTTCCTGGCTCCGAACAATATCCATTAACCGCGCGTTTGCAACGGTAAACAAGCAGCTTGATTCCCAAGAATAATCTAATCGCGATTATCCCCAACGATCATAGGCAAAAACAAACGAGGCTCCAGACAATCGTTCGACACGACTACTTATTGAAGATCCGCGGATGCATAATGAGCGCAACAAAGGGAAATAAAACTAACGACTGCGGCGAAACGTCGATTTCTGGAAAGTCTCGTCTTCGAGCTAGTCAAGTTAGTTCAATTGTACGTTGCTTGAACTCGTCAATTTTCGTTTCGTTCTTCACTTTAATTCGTTAGTTTTTCGGGCTCGAAAGTTGTTCGAATTGAAATCAACTTGATTTTAGGTCCGATGATTTGTAATTTATAAATTCGAATCATCCGACGAGATCCAGAATTCAAGCGCGTTCATGAAAAGATACTTCGAGTCACGTAAAGTAACAACGTTCGTCGTTGCAATGAAATCATTCCCAACAATCCGTGTAGCGAAGTGAACTTGACTGACGAGAACGAATATGAATAGCAAAGTCACGTTAAACATGCCCCGCTTGAATTGACAGTAACTTCGCTAATGCGAGCGCGGAAAACTATTAATTTACCTCGTCCCTGAGAACCTCCAGGCTACTGACGTGATCCTGGAGCGTGGTACTTCTGAGGGCACACTTTTCCCTGAGCACCTTGACCTCGATGAGCAGCTGCTCTTCCTGCTTCGCGGCCTCCCTCAGCTGATCGGCCAGCCTCGTGTTCTGCGCGGTGAGCTCCGCGACGAGAGTCGCCTGATCCCGTTCCGCTCTTCTAGCTCGGTCATTTTGCTCCTCCAACTGGCTCCTCAGCGTCTCCACGTCCGCCTGAAGCTCCAACGTTCTCGCCTCGTTCTCGCTCCTCGCTTCCTCTAGCTTGCGCCGCAGCAGGTGCCTCTCTTGTTCCAGACTCTGTGACAACAAACGTCGCCAACGTTAAGACTATTACACCGGGGCTGATCGATGGAAGCCAATTAAATGGCTGTCGCGTGCTTCGTTGCCGAGACTTTTCATTCTCGCACGTGTCGAAACACTGGACTCTGTTTATCTAGATGTTCATGGAAATGATATGGCTACATAGGCGACTCAAAATAGTAGATACATGCGCGTTCTTTACTGACAATGAGAACGATCAGTGTAGAACTCTGGATATTCCTCCAGTAAAAAGATTGTACAAATGAAATCAGTCAATATTGATAAGGTCTATCATTTGACAACGTACAGAGATTTTTCTATTAATCCTTCTCGCTGGCTCATATCCAGTATAACCTTTTCAAAATACTCAATACTTGCAATTTGAAGAATTTTCAACTCGAGAAAGAATTTTAAATCGAGTCCATCTCGCAACGAGTCGAAATGCAAACTTCGCATTCGCAGTTCTTCTCAAGCTTAAGAAATTATCGCCGCTTCTCTTCAAGCATGCGATACGCAAACGATCTTAAACGGAATATCTAATTTCGAAAGTATAGTCGAACGGAAAGACTTTCTCGGTATCCAGGAAAGCGGACGTTTATTCACGCCGTCTGGTCGATATAATAACGGTGAGAAATGTGCCCCGGCGATATTGAGTGATAAAAAAAACAGGAGAAAGAAGAACAAACTGCAGAGAACGTCGGCCGACGTTCGTTGAATCAGCAACTCGAATCGCTTGGCTACCTTCGACCTCGAAGCGTCGGCATCGACCTACGACGAAGGCTACCGCAAACGTCCCTGACTGAAATATCGAAAAAAAAAAAAAAAAAA